TATTGAAAATATTTCCCATTTTTTATAGTGAAAGTAGAAGATTTAAAGAGGACCTGTTATTAGGTTTTAGATTTAATTCAAGCTTTCAAATTGCGACAAGATGAGAAATTAAAGATTACACAAAACTATAAAAGGTCTGAAGAGAAAAAAGTTAATATGAATGTTATCCAAGAAAAAAAGGAACATGCTAAAAACAAATTAGAAGACATTTTATTAGAATATGAAGAATCGTTTGCAAAAGATAAATTTGATATTGGTAGAACAAGAAACTATGAAGCAGCTATAAGATTAACCGTAAATAAATATACAGCAAGAAAACCTTATAGATGCACAGTAGAGAACAAAATAGAGATTGAAAAGCAAATCAAAGAATTGTTGAAAGCAGGACTAATTCAAGAGTCTTGTAGCCCGTATGCCGCCCCAATAACATTAGTTTATAAAAAAGAAGAAGAAAGAAAATCTCGTTTATGCATAGACTTCAGAGAATTAAACAAAATAATTGTTCCAGAGAGTCAACCATTCCCAAGAATTGAAGATTTGACAGTACGTGCTAGAGGCTGTAAATATTACACTAAACTGGATATAAACTCAGCGTTTTGGTCGATACCAGTACGAGAAAAAGACAGATATAAAATTTTTGCTTTTGTGACACATCATGGACACTGGCAATGGACGTGTCTACCGTTAGGACTGAAATCGTCACCAGCTATTTTCCAAAGAGTATTGTCTAGTGTCTTAAGAAAAAATGGTTTAGATGCTTTTGCGGTAAACTATATAAATGACATACTGATATATTCTGAAAATTATGTAGATCATATAAAACATATAGAATTAACACTAAAAACATTAAAAAGTGAAGGTTTCAAATTAAATAAAGCAAAATGTAAATTTGCACAAAGAAAGACCACATATTTAGGACACGAAATTGGTGATAACTCAGTAAGACCATTAAATGATAACCTGGTGGCCATAAATAAATTTCCTAGACCACAAACAAAAAAGCAAATCAGACAGTTTTTAGGAAAAATTAGTTTTTATTTAGAGTATATACCAAAATACTCTATATTATTAGAACCATTATATAATCTACTGAGGAAAAATGTAGATTATAATTGGACAGAAGAATGTGAAGAGAGTTTTAATAAAGTAAAAAATAGTTTATGTT